ACAAGGACTTCATAAAACATTGAAAAAGTTTAAGTTTCAAAAAGAAGAAAAGCAAAGAAAGCATGTTATTGAAAAGAACTCGATCACAAATGGCTCATGGCTTTTTAGGACAAAAAGAAAACGAAGTTCATCTAATCCTTATGAATCATCATCAACATGAAAAATAAGAAAAGGCACACCAATATGCTAAATGAGATTAAATTTGCAGCATGCTTTGTTTAAGAAATATACGTCACTAAGGTCAAGAATGAGATCATGATCGAAACAAGAAGAAACTAAATGGTCATATTTTCATAATGAAACTCAGAAACAACTAGAAAAGCTCACAATATTATCCTACCCAAACCTAAATATGCAACTAAATTCAAAAATAATATAACAAGTAGAAGAACAAGAATAAAACTTCCCTCAAATGAAGAACTGGCCTCATGGATCAAACGGCCACGTCTCAAGGTAGATGATGTGTCCCATCTCCTTTTTTTTTTTTTAAATTAGGGTTTAAGACTTTAGATTAATTAAACAAAAACCCATTTGGAAAAACAGACCAACAAAGATTCAAACAACTCAAAATCCCACATTTTTTTTATCTTTTAATAAAGTCCAAACACATATACTCTCTATTTTCTTTTAAAACCTCCTAAATTTGATTAAAAACGAAAAATGATCGCACCCTTCTTTATTCCAAGTCAAAACTAACTCCCAAAATTAAAATTACAATTTTTCGAATTTTTGGATCGAGCCGAGGCACCAGACGCCTAGCCTAAAAAAAATTCTGAAGTTTCTAAAATTTCGCCCATGTAATTTGTGTCCTTAATCTCAACCTAAATAACCTAACTACAATTAAAAACAAGTGAAATTTGAAAAGAAAATAAGAAAACTACTCCTAACTAATTTACACAAAACTCTTCAAAAGAAATTTTCAATTAAACAAGGAAGGGAAATTTTTTTTTTTCCAAACTCTTAACTTCCTGAAAGTTGGATAGAGGTCTTCCCTCTATCTATTTCTTCTCCAAAATATTTTTTAACACGTTGGCCATTAACTTTAAAA